GGACGCCCCCGGGGCGAGGGCCTGGGCCGGGCCGCGTTGTTGTTACTGCCGTCCGGCGCTGCGGTTTGGGGCTGCCGGGCCGCGGGGAGACCCTGGTGGGCTCTTCGATGTTTTAGGACAACCCGATCCCACTGGCTTGAGGGAAGCAACGTGGATACCTTGAGCAATATTTCTCAAAGAATTAGGGCGTCGGGGTGGTACAAATGCAGATTCCCGGGCTTCTCCTCAGGGCTTCTGGACTAGACTCGCTGGCTGGTCTGTGGCCTGGGAATCTGCATTTCCAGCAAATGCCTCTAATGATGCTGATGCCGGCAGTCAGAGGATTGTACTGTGGGGACCCTGCTCCGGGGGACACTGGGCCTTCCAACACCGCGGGGAGCCCTAGTGAGGATGGGACCTAGGGGGCCGGGCCTTGGAATCGTGCTAGCCCTCTGTGTTCAAGGACTGACTTGGGGGTCCGAGACGTAGCCCTTCTATTCGACCTGCTGCCCGAGAGCCTTCAGATATGTGGGCTGTTTAGTGAGTGAAGGGCCCCGGGGTGCAGCAGGAGGAACTTAGGGTTGGCCCCACTACTTCCTAAGCAGGGCAGCTCTGGTATGGACCCCTCACACATCACTATTTTTTATTTCCCAATCCCTTATCTAACTGTCAGTGGGGACAGTAGGCCCTTTCTGACAGAACTTTTGTGTGAACTAGAGGTAATGCCTGTCAGGTAATGCCTAGAGTGGCTGGTATATAGTAAAGATTCAGAGAATTGGTGGAGAGTCACACAGCCCCAGCTTTTGGGTCCCTATAGACCTAAAGACTGGGGATTAAACAAGTGCAATGAAGGCGCAGGCAAAGCACATTCCGAGAACTGTGTAAGGATTCTAAAGGGGGCGGTTTGGAGGGAGACTGGCCTAGGGTGTCACACAGGATTCGTTGTGGGAATTCGTTGTTGGGTAAGGGTTGGACTGTTAACCACAAGGTCTGCAGTTCAAAACCAACAGCTGCTCCTTGGGAAAAGATGAGGCTATTGAGCCTAATAAAGCTGCACAGCCTCAAAAGTGTTGCTCTGAGTCAGATTCAATTATATCCTGGGAGTTAGATATAATTTAGGCTCCATGACCTGTCCCATCATGCCTCAGAGGTTCTCTCACACGGATCATTGGGGTGCTGTTCCAAGGAATTTTAGACGGAATGAGAAGGCACATTGGCAGCTGGCTTTTGAGGTCTACCTCAAACCACAATGGTTTCCGTCTGTTGGTGTGTTCAACACAAGTGGTCTTCCCCAGCTCTGAGGGTCATCCATCTATGAAAGGATCTTACTTGATCCCTTAGACCAGTGGTTCTCAACCTGTGGGTTGCGACCCCTTTGGGGGGTCGAAGGACCCTTTCACAGGAGTCACCCAATTCATAACCGTAGCAAAATTACAATGAAGTAGCAACAAAAATAATGTTATGGTTGGGGGTCATGACAGCATGAGGAACTATATTAAAGGGTCGCTGCATTAGAAAGGTTGAGAACCACTGAGTGCTATTGACAGAGGAATCACTTCCTGACCATGTTAAACTTGCTCTGAAAAGAGCAGATACTGCAGGTCTCCATTTCAGAAATACCTTTTCATCACAGAGATTCCGTTAACTCGGTCCAGCCATCCATGGCCATTTATTTCCAGAGTGGGTTAAAAAAATTGAACTCTTAAACTCCAAGTTTTAAGTCACTTTAGACCGTAGAAAATAGAAGACTTAAAGGCATACTTTGTTGTTATTCTAGACCAGTCTGGCTTCTGGTATACATAGAATTATAATCTCATTTGATAAATAGACATGCCTAGGTGTTGTCTGAGGGAGAAAGATGGGGCTTTCTACTCTCTTAAAGAGTTAGTCTTGGAAACCCATAGGGGCAGTTCTACCCTGTCCTATAGGGTCACTATGGTTTGGCACCGATTCGTTGTGGGGATTCGTTGTTGGGTAAGGGTTGGACTGTTAACCACAAGGTCTGCAGTTCAAAACCACCAGCTCTCCTTGGGAAAAGATGAGGCTATTGATTCTAATAAAGCTTGACAGCCTCAAAAGTGTTGCTATGAGTCAGACTCAACTTCATGGCTTACATAACTTGAAGAATGACAAGCTTTAGTGGTGCTGTTTGGTAATCGATGAACTGTTAACCTCAGGGTTGGAAGTTCAAACCCACCAGTCACTCCACAAAAGAAAGATGAGGTTGTCTGCTCCTATAAAGATTTACAGCCTAGAAATCTTATACAGCCACAGGAAGTTGGCATTGATGCCATGACAGGGGATTAATTGTTAATCGTATCTGTTCTTCTGCTTTCTGATATCTCTAGAACCAAGAAAACCAACAAGCCCTCTATGGCCATTGAGTTCACTCAGTCTCATAGCAACCCTATCCGACAGAGCAGAACTGCGCCGCAGGGTTTCCTAGGTTGTAGTCTTCATGGGAGCAGACGGTGCACATCATTTTCTCTTGGAGCAGCTGGTGGATTTGATTCTCTGACCTTGCAGTTAGCAGCCAGATACTTAACCACTAGGCTACCAATGCACCTCAAACCAATGCCATGTATCCCACTACACACAAGTACTTTTGATCATGTATTGAGTGGTTGGGCTGAGCCAGACACTGTTCTAGATGCTTTTTATGTCAGATCAGTTATTCAGACAGCTTTCAGGTGGGCACCACCACTGCCTCTGTGTTCCAAATGAGGAAATGAAGGGTCAAGAAGATAAGTATTTGCTCAAAGTCTCTGAGCTAGTAAGTGATAGAACGTGGCAGCATGGCTGCCCTGTAACCTAGACAATCCCCTCGGACTTGGAGTTGAAAAGATGGGTGACTGCCGAAAATCATGTCTGATCACCTTCTTCACATACATCATCTTCTTTAATCCTCAATTCTTCCAACAGCTATGATTTGGTGGGTTGTAGTTACCTTTTACAAATTGCTGAGCCAAAGTTTTCCAGCTGCGCAGCCTATCCCAAAGTTTGTATTTTATGTAATTTCCCCCCCCAATATTGCTAGTACCAAGGGATTTCTTTTAAATCATGTTAAGATGTATTCATTTCAGCATTTGTTTCCCTGTATTGTTTGAAATGTCACCTGTGATTGTCCTTGGTTTTCTCAGAGGGGAATTCTTGGGACGGCCATTGTTTTGCAATTTCCGAAGGAGATTTGGGCACCCTTGGGAGCAATGGAAGGCCACAAGGCAGAAGAGGAGGTGTTAGATATTCTACGACTGAATGTGGGGGGCTGCATTTACACAGCCCGCCGGGAGTCCTTGTGCCGCTTTAAGGACTCAATGCTGGCTTCCATGTTCAGTGGTCGTTTCCCTTTAAAGACGGATGAATTGGGTAAGTTCTGTCTCTATGCCTGGGCATGAATATTTATTAAATTGGAAGTCTACTTTAAGCTTTCTTTGCTTTTCCTAATGACAGTGGAAAAATTAGATTAGCATATAAATTAGATTATATGTCAGATAAGTACATAGGTTATTATGTATTATATACTATAACATATGGTAGCAGTTTATTATAAAAGGCACCCTGATGGCGTAGTGGGTTAGGCGTTCGGCTGCTAACTGCAAAGGCAGAATTCAAAGCCACTAGCACTTGGGAGAAAGATGAGGCTATGCTCCTGTAACAGTACACAGTCTCTGAAACTCACAGGGGCAGCTTTACCACGTCCTATGAGTCAGAATAGACTCGGTGGTAGGTCGAGTTTTAAGTAGATATATACTATTAGGTTAGTATATAAATTACAGAGATCTTGAAGAGGGTGTGGAAATTCATCAAGTTCATGTAGAAAAATTAAACTGAAGTTGCTAAAACATCAGGTGTTGTTGCTAAAAGTTGACAAAGAGTAAGATTGTCCTAATGACCAATCATGACCTAATGTTGGGGATTAGTGATATCTTGAAAGCACTTTCACCTAACTTCATAGGTAGAGTTAGTGAGACTGATTTATTCCCTTAGTTTCTCTGGATTCTTCAAGTTAGAGATCATGTCTCTGTGGAGAAATAGCTGCCCTTGGAGCCAACAGAGTCATTCTTTCTGTTGTAAAATTAATGTGGGCTTGCCCTTGAGTCTAGCGCTCTAGTTTTGTTACATGGACTGACCATGCGCATCTGAAAATGACAGTACAGTGGTTACCTTAGTCACCCTGTGGCAGAGGACTGCACATTGAGGGTTTGTAAAGAATCTTTAAAACACATGGTATTTCTGGGACTGGTCACAAGTGGGACTTTCTGTGCTATTTTAGGAGTTCTAGGGTCATGGAAGGAGCCCTGGTGTAGTGGGCTACCCAATGAGCTGTCAACTGTGAGGTCTGCAGTGCGAACCCACCAGTGGCTCCAAAGGAGAAAAATGAGACTGTACTCCCTTAAAGATTTAAAGTCTCGGAAACTCAACGGAGGGAAGTTCTATGGTTCAAATGGTTCAAAGGCCAATGGGTCAAATCCACCTGCCAGAGAAAGGTGCAGGAGTCTGCCCTATAGGGTTGCTTGAGATGGAATTGAGGAGAG